AGGACTGAAACTTCTAATCTTTAATCAATATAAGTGTGGCCCTGGAAATGCTGTAGTCGTTAAACTATCTGATGGCACTTAGAGTTTTTTTACCTCCTCAGGGAGTCTGTAAAGGCCAGACTTTACCCTCTCTCCCTTGGGAGCGCTTGCTGCATAAGCTGTGGGGGCTTGTCTCTCTCCTCGCTGAGCAGCACTTGGCTCTGACAGTGAGGTGAGTCTGTCTTCGCTGCTTTCCTCTGCGCCTGATCACATATGGGTTTCTGAAAATAGTTGTGTCAGTCCTGTGTACACAGCCAAAACACGTTTGTCTTACAGAAAGTATACTAAGTGCAGAGAATATTGCTGTGCAAGCCTGTCTGTGTCATTTGAATGCATTTGGGGGGATGATAGTGGAATAATTTGCTGGAATTGCATGAAAAAGCTAAACAAAGGGCTATATTAAAGTACTGGCTGCGTGTTGCCAAAGGTAGGGAATTTTTACTCCCGTTTTCCTTTCTTACTGTGCTGGTATCAGCCAGGACCTTCATTATCATACTAGACAAGCCTTCATCTCTTTGAGGAGTGGAAAGGGGGATACATGTACAATGCAGGTAGCTCCAGCCGTGACTTTCATCCCTGCAATGTTGGTGACCGTGTACGAACCAGTGCAGCATCCACGGGTGTACAGGGGACAGAGCCCATCTGGGCAGATGAGGCGGGAGGGCCAGACCTGTAAATCTGTGTCCAGCTGCACAAACAAGTTATCAGGAGACAAAATAGGGCATGGGCTCGCTGGCCAAATGTGTGCTCGTATCCCAGGACCAGTATGAGTAACATCCCTCGGTTTGATTGAGGGAGGAGTCACTCGGTGCGCGGCCCATGGTACAAGCCTGGAGAGAGCAGTTTCCACAGAGCAGCCCATGTGCGGTGTATTCATGCCATCGCTCGCCTTGTGGAGCCATGCCCTACCGCTGCTTTCTGCTCTCAGATCAGGACAAATGGCACATCCACCATCACTCCTGCAGGTATCACCAACTTGCCGTGCCTCTCGATGGAATAAAGCCTCACGTTACTTGTAGAGACGCTGGGAAGAAAGAGAAGTGTAGTTGAAAGTTTGGAGGGGATGTTTTTTCCCCGTATTTTCTAGCCTGTGCTATTTCAAGTAACCTTGTGTCTTTCTGTTCTCTTTCCAGGCACTTGTGACTCTTGTCCATTGGTGAAACTGCTGAGAGCAGCTGGAGGAACAAGGGCATTTTGATTGCCCCATGCTGTAGAAGGCCTAATTCTTAATTACACTGTCTTGTGCTAACTTTGCCAAACTCAACAGTCGTGCCAATGATAGATGTCTCTCAAAATTGGAAATTGTTTCTATTGTGTTTTATTTTTCAAGAAAATGAGTGAACCCATAAGAATTCCCTGCATTTCCCTCTGCAGGATATAACTTCAGTCATTTCACCACTCCTAAGAGTAAACTGACTCCCTGGTGGGTTATTCATGACCCCTTCTCAGCCAGGCTGATGTGTATCTGATTGCTTCCTGAGTCTGCTGTGAGGAATAAATCCAGTGTCTCCCTTCACGCTGAGAGATGGCACATCACAGAATTTCTCTGGCACTCTACAAAAAAAAAAAAAATCAACACAAGCCAGAATCTGTCCCACATACCAGATTTTCAGCTCTCAAACCAACATTGTGCCTCTGAGCCCTGATGCTCTTCTTCATTCTGCCTCCTAAAACCCATTCCTTCCATCCTGCCCATACCTAATGAATTGTGATCAGCCAGGATATAGCACGCTGCACTACGTCACCGTCTGATTGTACCACTCTGTCCCTGGGGCTTTCTTGCTCTTCCCTTCTTACTGCTCTGCTACGCTGGGTCGTGTCTATAGTACAGACTGTAAATAGTTGGGGCTAGTATCCAGCTTCTCTGTGAGCCACCTGGTGTGCTCTGGGGTGGAGTAAAACGCTTGGGAGCAAAAGGAACTGGGGGACCAACTTGCCTAGCCGCTAAGCAGGTCTGATAGGAGTAGAATGTTTGTTCTCAACCATAAAGGGATCTTAAGGACGGGTCACAACCGGAGCACTGCAGCAGACAGTCCAGTGCTGCATCGAGATTGAACCCTCCAGAGTACCAATCTGCCTGCTACTACTTTTGCTTTTACAGGATTCCTTTGATGTGCAGTGGCTTACAAAATGCATGAGGTTTGAAGAACATCATCACCGAGAGCTTCTAAGCCTGATGAATCCCATGTCTGTGAAAGTGCAGGCACCCTGTAGGTGCTGGGTGAAGGCAGAGAGCTTTGCAATGGCCTGCTCAAGGCAGGGGGGTCCTGAAGGACAATCTTGAGTGACAGTCACACTCAAGAAGCAAGAAAACTGGTGTGAAGGAAGGTGGAAAGCACCTGGTGGAGGAAGGGGATAAAAGTCAGAGGTGGGAAAGAGGGAGGAGAGAGAGGGAAAGCAGAAAAAGGAGAGCCATGGCCAAGCCTCGAGTCTGAAAGGCAAAGTTCACGCTGACATTGGTCAAAATGCTGATGATGGGTTTGGGGAGGCAGGTCTGACAGGGAGCTCTGACAGACAGCCAGAAATCTGCCATTAACCTTGACAGTCTTCAGGATTTTAGAGGCAGAACGCCCAAAAAATTCCAAGCTCTTTTGAATGTGTCCATGAAAATGCAAAGATGTTAACCTGTTTGGGGCTGGGAAATCAAAGTCTGAGCTTTTTCTGAGCAACACACTCAAGTACAAGCCTAGCCAGGGGAAAACCCAGGCTCAAATTCCTTCTACGTTTGATTTGAGCCGGTGTGGGATGTATAGGTTCAGGGTAGCCATTATGTCTTTACCCCTGGACTGGCTCTGAAGGTGGCCCCGTGCAGCCACGATCCAGATATCTCCACATAGTCGCTCAACTTTGCTTCAGAGGAGATGGAGACTCTGTTCACATGGAGTAAGGAGCTGCTGTAGCACCTCCACGTGGCTGCGGGGAACGTCCCAAAACCAGCAGTATCCTCTGCAGCAGCAAGAAAGGTCCGTCACGCCAGGAATAATAGGATATCCCTGCAGTGCCATGAGACATATCCAGAGATAAGCAGGTGCTCTACATGGAGAACAGGCTCCATGGGTTAAATTATGTATTTGGAACCTTCCTGTCCCTTGTGGGCTCTTTTTAGACTCTCCAGGGGACACCAGCATGTCTGAGGTTCCACCAAGGCTTATTTTTACAGCACTTGTTCCACTTGAGTCAAAACTGCTTCGCAGCAGCATCTTCGCTCCTCGTTTTTCAAAAGTTAATCTGAATTACTGCCACAGGACTAGACCAGTGGGACTAGTGACCTGCCCGCATCAATCTTCGCAGCCGAAAGCGGAGGCAGCGAGGTTGGAACCAGGAAAAGCTGGTGCGTTGCAGATGAGTTGGGGGTTTCCACAGACCACAGCTTGCATGCTCTGCTCCAGAGCACGGAGGAAGGGAACAAAACCACCAGGGAATAAAGACGAAAGTGTTACCCATTTGGCTTGAAAAAGCAGGCAAGTTTGGGTAAAATCTTTTGTGGGAAAGCGCTGGAAAAGCAGACAAACCCTCTGGCTCAAGGTCCCACCCCCAAGCTGTGCCCAAAGTCTATCGCAGTCACAGTGATACTGCTGCTACCATGAAAACAGCCCTCCTTGGTTTGTGGTGATAAACAAATGACACTAAAAGGGGGGCAGGGGGGAACTTCATAGTTTTGCAAACTTTCCAAACCTACGTGCACCGTGAGCCGGCTCTGCAGAGGGCAGCAGCTCGATGCAGCTGCAGAGGATGCTGCTGCCGCATCCAGCAGCTGTGCAGGGGCTCTGCGTTCAGCTGAAACCTGCGAGCAGCTGTAGGAACCCCTTTCCCTATGGCTATAGCATCACCCCAGGGCTAACCCTTGCTGTGCCACACTGTCCTGGCGCAAGTTAGGGACTGAAGAGTGGATAATGTGAATTTTCTGTGGTTCCTTTTTTCCCCTACAGGCTCCCAAAACAGTTAGAGGGTTAAAGGCTTTATATAAGTTATTCACAGTGAAATTAATTCTCATGAAACATGTAATGTGTTCGCAGGTAAGAAAGGTGCTTTAACCAAAATAAGTGTGTTTTTTTCTGTGAGGCTTTGTTATGGGGAAAATTAAAGGAGCAGCAGAGTGTAGAGGGGACCAGGCACCGGCCCTTTCCCAGCCAGGCTGGAGGGCTGGGGGGAGAGTTCAGCCTCCCATCCCAAGGGTGAAGGGACTGTTTTCGTGGTGCTTGGAGGGGAAAAAGGATTTCTGTGAGTTTAGACAGTGATTTGTTTATTCACATTTTCATGAGCTCAGTTATAATGTGTGCTTCTTAAGGAGAAGTGTCTTTACCAAACCCATATATTGAAGTTTCTCTTTTTTTTAAAAAAAAAAAAAAGCATACTGTGGCAATATGCTGTTTCTGTGCATTTCCCAGCCCAGTGATTGTGAAAAGTGGGGTTTGTAATGCATTTCTCGAGCTAGCCCAGCAGTTCCTGCTGGATTAAAGGCCAATTCTTTAATCTTTTTATTGCAGACTGGATGGCAAAGGGCTTTTTGTCTTTGTAAACACCCCCTCACCCCCCTCACCATTCTCAGAGAGAGCAGTGCCTCTGAGATGAGATCAGACACATGGGCTGGAAATGAGGTGGTTGTTTTGTTTCTTGAAATTGCCAATGTTTTTAAATCGTTTGAGACTCCCTATGTGTATTTTAAGGCTCCTTTTGGATTCAGAGGCCGGGGAGGGGCTGCAGGTCGGGCAAGGAAGAATGAAAGAGGGGTGCGGGTTTGTGCACCGGCTCAGAGCCCCACTCTTCAGCCCAAGGCAGAAATCTTTGTGTTTCAGTGAATATTCTGCAGGCAAAAAGCAAGTGGGGGATTTTGGCCTACAAAATAGAAAAAAAAAAAAACCCACATCTTTTCTTTTTACTAGAATTTCTCTTTACCAGTGTAGCAAAAGCCTGGGTAGCAAGCAGCTGAGCAGGCAGCGATTGAATAGACAGTCCATCCTCTAACAGACAGATTTTATTGAGTACATGCATAACTAGGCAAAGCAAAGCAGTGATGTCCAGGCTCCGAAAAGAAGATCTCACCAATCCGTTGGCCAGACGTCCTGGGAGTCTTGGGAACCCGGAGATAGTTGCTGCAAAGGTCCATGTGGATTCAGCTCCTTTAAGTCCAAGGTGATTACAGGGTCTTCCGTTCCACTCATCTTTTATCGTCTCTGCAAGTCTTTGCGGCTTGTAACACCTCTGCCTTCTTCAGTGGGTGCTTTTCCACGCTCAGGCATTATGTTCGCTTCTCTTTCTTTCCAAAGGCACTGTCCTTGGCTTTCCTTATCCCCTTCTCCTCTGCTTAAAGGAGTCTTAAATCACACAAGAGCAGCTTCATCACATTAGCATTTGGGGATGGGAGGTTCAAAGACAAGTTACTTATGCTAATTCTTGCTTTTTTACTGTGAGGGTGATCAAACACAGGAACAGGTTTGCCCAGAGAGGTTGTGGAGTCTCTGCCTGTGGAGATAGTCAAAACCCAACTGGACCCAGTCCTGGGCGATCTGCTCTAGGTGACCCTGCTTGAGCAGGGAGGGTTGGACTAGATCATCTCAAGAGGTCCCTTCCAACCTCAACCATTCCGTGATTCATGCCAGCCGCAGGCTGCTTGGCCTGCCCTTCCCTCCTGGGATGGCCCTCTTGTAACAGAGGAGGCCATCCCTCACATCAAGGTCTGGTATGGCGTGTGTCCCCACCGCTCAACGCCTACTGGGTTGCAGCCAACAGCGGAGCTAAAAGTTCTTCTTGGCGGCAAACACAGAGGCCAACCCAGTCTTGCCCTTGACTATGGTAGGAGTCTCTTGGCCAGCCCCAGTCCTTTCACCTGGTTGTCAATGCAGAACTTTATCTGCCTCATCCGGTAGCAAGTCGCTACCATGGCAAAGCACAGGCAGATTTGCGTTAGCAGTATAACTACAATGGGGTGCAGCAGGGTGTTGAAGATGCCGGTGGCTGTGGGGGACCAGCCGAAGAAAATTTCCCACCAGCGGTGTTCTCCCACCCTCTTAATTCGTTCCATTACCTGTTTTATAACATTACCATCATGATGTACAGTTATTAGGATCTTTTTAGCTTCTGCCTTAGCATTTTCTAACAGCTGCTGTAAATGTGCGTGCTCTAACATTTCTTTCACGAGTGACAAATCCATACCGATGGGGGTCGGGCTTATACTACGGTACAAGGTGTAGTTTCTGATTAGCAACTGGCTAGTGAACACAGGCGGTTTATACACAAAATCACAGCCTCTAATAATAGCTACATTGCAAGCACACATATTTGAGTCATTAAACACGGTCTGATTATAAACTTCGTTAATTTGCACGTATTTACACATCGTTCTAAAACACACGCACCAAAACACTAACACGGTTTTGTTACTGCTCTGGGGATTGAGCTCAAAATGGCACACCCCTTCTTTGGTGTCAAAGCAAACATCACTCGCCTTAAGGGCATCATCTTCGCATATGAATCCCAGCCCCCTTTCCAAAATGCAGGCTTCCAAATCTACCGATTGCCATTTCCCATCAGACACCCTGGCCCACATGCGGTGGTCCAGGGGGTAGACCACGGACCCGTTTGCGTTAACCCCCAGGGCCACGATGGGGTAGACCTTTTCGATGCGAGCCTCTACCACGGTCAGGACGTGGGCAATGACTGCGTTGAGGATCTGGTCGTGGGTGAAGTTGACAAGCCTCCACCAGGCTTGGAGCTGCCGCTCCTTCTCTGTGGCCACATCCCACACAATCTTTCGGATCTCTGTGGGGAGGACGCCGTTGTCGCCATCTCTCAGGATACCTGCAACGACACTCTGCACCCACATCTGGGCCTGGATGCAACTAAGAGCAAGGGAAACGTTATTTTGTTCAATGCCCAGTGCTCGCAACAGCAGCTGGTGGTCTTTCTCACTTATTTGTTCCCAGGTGGGCAACACCTCTGACACGAGCCACTGCCCCATCCCAAGGCTGACCAGGGATGAATTCAGGGGGGTGAGGAGGCCCTGCACACCTGAGGTGACAGCCTCCAACTTGTTGGCCAAGACTTCAACGTTCATACTGTTGAGGACTCCCAGCCCGGCACCTCCTCCTCCCAGGGCAGTGGCCAGCAGGTCTCTCCTGGCCCGGGTCGCCTGGATGGAGCGGCTGTGGAGCCATGCCA